CCCGCGCTCGCGCTTCGTGGGGGCCTCACTGCGCGCCCCAGGGGGTGGCGTTCGCATGCGTCCGCGCCTCTCGGTTCGGCGCGCCCCTCGCGCTTTTCGTGGCCGCATTGGGTGCGCCGCCGAAGGCCTCAAGTGGGCGCGTTCGCATGCGTCCGCGCCTTTCACGTCGGCGCACTCCTCGCGCGTTCCGTGGCCCCATAGTGGTTCCGCCGAACGCCGCGCGCGGCTGCTTTCGCATGCGTTTCCCGCTTTTTCGTTTCGGCGCGCCCCTGGCCCCCAACTAACCCTCGACGGAGTGGTATGTATGCGGAGGATCGCGACGCCCCCTCTCGCCATTTGCAGAGGATACGACCCTCGCCCGAGCGCCCCCAAAGTGCATTGAGTTTCAAAGGATCGCGACCCCACCTTCTTTCACCCCTAGCATGCGCGCTTGCCTGGCTTCAAAAGGACCCTCGCCCGAAAGGTGGCTTTTGCGAAAGATCGCGGCCCCGCCCTCTTTTATCATTCGCGAAAGGTACCGCTCGGTGCACATCCCCTCGCGCGCGCCGCGCAGTTGTTTCTCCATTGCCCACAAAAGGAGAGCCGCCTTGTTGACATGGAAACAGTGAGCCCTCGCAGAGAGGCGACCGACTGGATTTCCCAGTTAACATGGGCCCTTGCGAATGTTGCCTTTGATGTCTGGCTGGTGGCGGGCGACGGGCGGCGGGCTGCCTTTGCATCGCCAGCAATAGGAACGTCGCCATGTTGGCTTGGGCATGAAAGTGAACCCTTAGCCGTAACAGGGTAGATTTCCGGCCTAACAGGCGGTCTTCACATTCCCGTGTACTAGCGCAGCACGCAAGGCGCCGACGCGCGCCATCAGAAAGCACGCGCCAGGACCAACGTTAATTTGGAATTCAAACAGGCCGCCGCTAAGGGCTGACTTGAGTTTCCAAGCCAGCTGGCGGCTTCGCCCGAGTGGTATGTATTGCGGAGGATCGCGACGCCACCTTGTTTCATCTTCGGCAGAGAATTGCACTCGGTGCACGTCCGCGCGCGCGCCTTGTCCCTAAACGACCCTCGCCCTATAAGTATGTGTTGGGAAGGGTCGCTGCCCCCACCAGCCTTCTTTCATCTCTAGCTAAAACTACCACTCGGCGCACACCCGCGCCTGTCACCTTTAGAAATATCACCCAAATTCCCCTAACAGGAGCGCGGCCTTGCTGTCCTGGGAAATAAAGTGGACCCTCAGCGGTTGCCGATTTGATTTCCAACTTGTCATGCGGTTGTTTGGTGCATTGCTGCAGCTTATAACGCGCCGACGCGCGCTCGCGCTCGCGGCTGGGCGCGGCGGCTCCTCTATTGTCCGCGTGCTGGCCTGGGAACCCAGGTGAACCCTTAGCGGTCGCCGATTGGATTTCAAACTTATTTTGCGGTCTTTACGGGCTGTGTCTATTGGTGGGGACCACAAGACGCCGACGCGCGCGCGGGGCGATTTCCGTAATGTCCGCCATAGGACAGTTGCCATGCTTGCTTGGGGGCGAAAGTGGACCCCTAACGTCTGCCGACCGATTGGACTTGCAACTTAACGTGCGTGTTTTGAATAAACAAAAAATAGTTCCGTCTACTGATGCAGCTTACAATGCGCGGACGCGCGCGAGCGGCGGTTACTGCATTGCCAGCAATAGAACGCCGCCATGCCCGCCTGGGAACTAAACTGAACCCTCAGCGCTAGCCGATTGCATTTCCATTTCAACATGCGGTCGTTGCGCTTGCGTATACTGTTGCAGCCTACAATGCGCCGACGCGCGCGTGGCGGTATCTGTAGTGTGCGCATTAGGAAAGTTCCCATGCTTGCCTGGGGTCGAGAGTGACCCCATCAGCGGTTGCCCACTGGATGTCCATCTCCTCATGCAATATTTACATCGTCGTCTACTGGTGCAGACTACAAACCACACTGTCTAGTTTCGCCTCAGCATGCGGTCTATCTTACGGCACACGCACAAACGCACGCACCGACTCAGCACGGCGCGACGCAGCGCAGCAGAGACCCCGCCAGACAGCACAGAAACCAGCAACCTGACGAGTCGCCCCTCTTCGTCTTTTCTCTTCCATCGTTTTGTGGCTGCAGAGTTGCGCATAGCAGACAGGAACTTACTTGTTGTGCCTGCCATGCTCGCCCCGAAGGAGGAGCAGCCCGGCATGCTCGCCCCTCAGGAGGAGCAGCCCGCTCCCGCCCCGACATCTCCCGGCCTCATGGCGGCCTTGGAGGAGGACCTTTTCAAGCCCGGGCCCGCCGTCAAGCGCGAGCGCGGCGGGGGCGAGCATATCGTCTCGTTTGAGTGCGGGGGGGGCGAGAAGCAGCTCGTCTCGTTTGAGAGCGGCGGCGGGGGCGAGTGTTCGTCTCATGTGAGTGTGGCGGCGGAGGAACGTGCCGAGGATCCACCGGTGGCAGTTGGAGTTACGGACATGCCCGTTTCGGAGTTCGCGCTCACGAAGCAGTACGTGGGGAAGGGGATCCAGCCCCTCGGTCGGGTGCGCGACACGGTCGTGCGCGTTTACACGACGAACTTGTCTACGCAGAATTGGTATCGTGACTTCAAGAAGCCTACTGTGATGGCGCTCCGCCAGCGCTTGAACGAATACGCACAGAAAGTTGAGGAACGACAGGATATCGACATGTCCACCGGATACAAGCAGCTCCGACAATGGCTGGATGACCTGCTGGGGCTCCACAAGTGCATGACGGCATGCAACGATGCGCACAAGCCCGCCCTCCTGCACGGGGCCGCGGAATTCTTCGATCGCCTGGCCAAGCCTCTCGAAGCCATGAACCTCGCCTTCGCCCCTGACCTCGCCATTTTGAAGGCGCACGCGAAGTTCTACGACGACGTCGTCATTCGCAAGGTGCCAATCACCGATGTACTGGGCCATGTGGACCTCAGGTATTTGAGTCAGTGTCGCGAGGCGGTGGTGGCCGCTCCGCAGCCTCAGCAGGTCATGGAACCTCGGCCTGGGGAAGAAGTAGAGGTGGAGCGCGGCCAAGGCGTCGCTCCGCCCAAGAAAAAGCCCAAGGTTTCGAAGCTTCAGACGTTTTCATGTGTGGATGTCAGCATGGCCGCAGGCGAGCACATGGCGCGCATGTGCGTGGAGATCTTCAAGAAGGACTTCTACGACCTCCCGAACGACGGCAACTTCGACGAGAGCCAAGGCGACCTCAATAATGTCGTTGCGAAGTGGCAGGCCGTTCTAGCAAAGTGGGGCCAGAAGTTTGTCGCCGCCGACATCCCCGACAACACCGCCTTCCACGTTGTGATCCACTCGGCGATCGACGTGTTGCGGTGCTCCTTCGCCACAGAGTCCGCCCGCCCGGACAGTGGGCTGGTCAGGATCGCGAGGCAGGTCTTGTTCGACGCGGCGAAAAAGAAGGACTGCCTTGGCCAGGTAGCGAGGCTGCTCGTCTCCCCAGGGACTGGCAAGGCCGTGATGGACGCCGCCGGCCTCCACGCCGCTGGTGGCGTGCAGGAGCCCGTCGGGACATCGAAGGGGCGCTTGTCTGCCCCCCAAGCAATGATGACGACGGCGATGATGATAGAGATGATGGCGATGACGATGACGATGGGATGATGGCGATAACGATACGATAACGATGACGATGACGACCACGATGACGACGACGATGACGATGACGATGACGTTCATGATCACGGTGATGATGAAACTTTCAGCGGGTGGTAGGGGGACCCCTGTCTCCCTACCCGCGGCTTGGATGATGGTGATGGTGATGATGGTGGTGGTGGTGGTAGGGGGGGACCTATGTCTCTCCACCCGCGGCCTCCCTCGAGTCTGTCTCGGGCGACCCATCAGGCCCCAAAGTGGCCTCAAGAAGGTCGTCGGGCGCCATCCAGGGCCATCTTGGGATACCTCGACGGATCTTCGAGGTCGACCATCTCGGGCCCTCTTGGAGCCATATTTCCCCATCGGAGCTTGCCTCCGTAGGGGTCCTAGCGGATTTTGTAGGGGGTCTATGGCCTATAGCCCAATGTCCCTATAGCCCCACAGCCCTACAACCCTGTAGCCATATACCCATACAGCCCTATGGCCCACAATCGCCCTATAACTCTATAGCCCTATAGCCCTACAGTTCTATAGCCATGTAGCCTTATAGCCCTATAGCCCTGGAACCCTATAACCATGTTTCTCTAGAGCCCTATAGCCCTATAGCCTTATAGCCTTATAGCCCTATAGCCCTATAGCCCTAATCGTCCTATAGCCCTGTAGCCCTAAAGCCCTGTAGCCCTAATCGCCCTATTGCTCTATAGCCCTGGAGCCCTATAACCATATAGCCCTATAGCCTTAAAAGTCCTGTAGCCCTAATAGCCCTGTTGGTCTATAGCCCTGGATCCCAGAAGCCCTGTAGCCCTAGAGCTTTATAGCTCTGTAGCCCTACAGCCCTGTAGCGCTATAGCTCTATAGCCATGTAGCCCTATAGCTCTACAGCCGTAAGCCCTAATAGCCCTAATAGCCCTATAGCCTTATAGCCCTCTATAGCCCTATAGCCCTATAACCCTATAGCCACATAGCCCTATAGCTTTGTAGCTCTACAGCCCTATAGCCTTCAAACCCTGTAGCCCATATAGCCCTATAGCCCTAATAGTCCTATAGCCCTACAGCTCTATAGCCCTAAAGCCCTAGAGCCCTATAGCCCTAAAGCCTTATAGGCCCAGCGTTTTCTAGTCTTCAAGCCCTATATCCTATAGCCCTATAGCCCTGTAGTCATGTAGCCCTGTGGCCCCCTCGCGTGCCAAAGATTAGAAAGGGGTCTCGTGTCAGATAAACAACTTGGACTGGGTTTTCTCTGGTATCATGGACTTTCTGGGGCGCTTTTAAATATAACATATTCCACCGTCTTGGCCCAAGGGGAGGGGGTGGGAGGGAACAGGAAACGGCAGTTGGAGGAACCAGGTCGCTGAATCAGATGGTGGGACCTGATGTTTTGACGGTCGCGTGTGCCTTGTCAGGATGAGTCTGCGACGGCTCTGTTCGTCACTGCTTTTGATGCGTTCGAGAATGAGCTGCAGCCCGCGTTCGAGGACGCGGAGTCGTGGGTTATGACCGGGTTCCAGGGCAACGTGTTCACGCCGAGCGGCTACCGTGATAATGCAGTCTGCAAAGCCGATGCGTTGGTGAACGCATCTGCGTTTGCCCTGCAGCAGTGGTCTACTGCTGCTGTGCAGAAGGCGGCCGACCAGCTGATTTCGGCGTTCGAGTACACGGGGGAGATCATCCGCATGGGCATGTACGTGGTGCTGGACGCTGTGACCCGCCGTGCCCTGCGCGTGTACGCATCGATGGCCCCAGTGGCAGCTGGCGCCCTGGAGTCCGCTACGACCGGTGGCGCCGTGGCCGCGCCTTCCGAAGACACCCCCGAGGAGCGACAGAAGTTAGCTTCGAGTTTGGAGGCGGCGAAGCTCGATGCGGCCGAGGTGATTGATAAGATGGCTTTGCTGACCCACAAAACCGTGAAGCTCTTCGAGGCTTTGACGTCGAGGGTCGGCGCCATCGGGGATGACCAGCTGGACCGCCGCGTACATCCTCTCGCCGTGCAGACGGACATCGAGGCCCTCTCCATCATACTTGACAACGTCGCTTCTTATGGTGTCATGTGCTCTTCCCTGAAACACATCTCCAACAAGGGCCAGGGCGAGGGTGTCGATTCGACTGAGTACAGTGCAACGCTGTCCAAGTTCTGCCGCCTGCACAACCGCGGCCCCACCGCGGTGTTCGATAACGCCCCCTCGGATTTCAGCAAGGTGTCTACCCAGGCGTCCGCTGCTCTCGCCGAGATCAAGAGCGCGTACGCCGAGATGTACCACGAGGTCGGCTCATATGTCTTCTCTAAGCACGTATCCGAATGCACGAACTCGTGGGTGCAGGCGATGTCGCGCGTGATCATCCTCGCCCATCCTGTGCACTCCAAGGCGCTCCACTGTGAAGGTGCCGAGGAACCTTCGGCTTTCCAGATCCAGGTCGTGGTCGAGATCGCGGAGAAGGCGTTCAGGATGCTCACGCATGGCGCGGACATTTTCGCCATGATTCCGGAGTATGGGGCGCCTCTGACAGGCGAGGAAGACGATATCAAGATCTTAGACGGGATGCCGCACAATGTAGCTCTTCGCGGGCTTCAAACTTTCAGCGAAGACATGTGCATCGAGGTGCTTGATGGCGTCGGCCTGAAGGTTATGAAGGACGGCGCGCTGGTGGACGAGCAGGCGCCGATCGAGGTGGCCATTAGCGCCCAGGGGCTCTTCTGCGCCACGTTCGACGTGGCGGCGTCGATGGCGCTGGTGTTGAAGACCCTCAAGGCTGCGGGCGAGGAGAAGAAGGTCAACGGTTCAATGTTCGCGTTCGGCAAGCTGGTCTACCTCCAGCGCGTGCTGCAGCAGAAGGTGCGCGCTGGAGTCGCGGTTTTACAAGGGGATGGGGTTTTTGGATGGCCCCCCAGGCCCCACAGCCCATGGCTCTTGGCCATCACCATGTTCACCGTGGGTTCACGGCCGTGGGTAGGTGGACGTAGCCCCCCCTACCATCAATCAATAATGAGGTAGGGGGGCGCGCGCCCCCCTACCCGCCAGTTTAGTTGATGTTAGGGGGACGTCGGTCACCACGATACCACTGCCATCCACCCATCCATCCGCTTCCCATTTTGCATGTTCCGTGTCCCAAGCCCCTTGCCGCATGGCGGCATGGCCCAAGCCAGGACCTTAAGCCCCGCGCCCCTCTCGGGGCCGTCTTGGGGCCGTCTTGAGATGTCTTGGGCGCGGCTTGGGCACGTCATGGGGCTGTCTTGGGGGCCTCTTGTGCCGTATTCACCTTCGTGAAAGCCGAAAATCGTATCTGTTCAAACAGTCGGCGTTTGCTGCTTGTGCGCTGCAATGTTTGCGGTGCAAGCTCAGCGGCGCAATATATGCGGTGTTTTTTTTTGTTCGGTGCCATCCACGCGGCGCAATACACGCGGATCAAGTTATGCATCGCAAACAATGCGGTGCAATCTATGCGGTGCAGTCTACGCGGTCCAACCGATGCAGTGTAGTCTATGCGTTGCAATCTATGCGGTGCAGCCTATGCGGTGCAATGGACGCACCGAATGGATGTGGTGCAAAAGACCATGAAGGCCCAGATGGCCGGTGGGTCGTTCCCCCGTGAAAGGTGGCGCTCCTTGACGAGACCCTGCGCTCCGACAGCGTCCTGGCAATCGAGAAGGGCGGGTTCGTGCTGCCCACGAGCCTCGTCGTGCTGGAGCCGTGGCTGCAGGGCATGAGCGCAATGAGTTGTCGCTTGCAGAACTGCATCGTGGCGACCTGGTGCGAGCAGCTCGGAGAGAGCGTCGGCGAGCTGAAGACATCGTGCCCAGAATGGCGCGCAATTTTCAAGGACGGCCAGGTCGACTGGGAACTGGCCAAAAAAGTTGCTGTTGGTCAATCGGACAAGGTCGTGAAGAAACACAACGCCGTTCACAGCGTCCTGCAATCCATGGCCGATAAGGCTGCGTTCCTTGAAATTTCGGGCCCGCTGTCGTCCCACAAGATAGCAGGGTCGGCGGTGGCCGTAGCGATGAGCATCTTGAAGCAGTCGGCAACGACCAGCATCGTGTGCCTTGGCTTCGAGCTCCTGGCCAAGTACCGCGACCACAACTACCTCGAACACGTGGCTCCTGAGACCAAGGGTGGCTCTTGGAAGAACGTGCCTGAGGCGTTCCTTCAGAAGCACAACAAACCCGAGCACTCCGACGTCCCCGAGTGCTTCTGGGAGGAGTTCAAGATGGCATCGCAGCACTGGGCCATCAGTCAGTCACGCGCAGTGCATCCACCCAAGCGCGCCGAGCCTGAGCCGAGCAAGCGCTTGGAAGCCAGCAAGCCCGACGCCGCCAAGCAGGCCGCCGTGGCACCGGCCATCCAGAGCGCAGCGGCGGTCGAGAACGTAGTGGCGGTCCAGAACGTAGAGACGCCCCAGAAGTCCAAGGGCTTAAAGAGGAGGGCGAGGGGGTGAGCGGTGAGCGTTTTATCGGGGGTAGGCGGGCGCGGGTTTGATGTGGGAATTGCCCCACCTGGCGGGCGTGTTCAGTCGAGTTTATGTTGCAGAGGGTTCGCTGTGAGTCATAGCTCCGTGGGAGTCCGCTGGGCGCCGCTGCCGCGCTATTTTCCGTTACCTTGGTTGACCTCCGCTCTGCGGAAGTTTGTGGGGGCACGCCAGAGTGCAGAAAGATGTCGGTCACCGTTTTTGTTATTTTGGTTGGGGGGGGGGGGCTGGCCCTTGCCCAATGTTCATGGTGCTGTTGATGATGATGCTGATGATGATAATGAGGATGATGATGATGATGATAATGATGATGGTGATGATGATGATGATGTTAATGGTGGTGATGATGGTGGTGATGTTGTTGTCGATGGTGGTGATGTTATGAGTCGGGTGACCGATGATGATGATGATGATGTTGATGGTGGTGATGTTGGTGATCATATGATGTTGATTTTTGATGGCGGTGGTGCTGATGCCGATGGTGATTGTGCAGTTCTGGTGCACAAGCAGCCCGCAGGATTATGGTGATGATGTTGTTGATGGTGATGGCGATGTTGGTGTTGGCGACGGCCATGGTTGGTAGGGGGACCTGTGCCTCCCTACCCGGGGAAAGCTTCGCGTATCCCCACCAGCCCCGGACTTATCAGCTCGGCGACTGCGAATCCGCGTCCGCCCGCGACCAAAAAAAATATATCCCCACCAGCCCATCCAGAAACGATTCCCAGAAGAGTTCAGGTGATGAGGGGCATGTGGGAGCAAGAGAAGGGAAACAGGAGGGCGAGCAGACGGCCAGAGGCATCTTGGAAGGCTTTCGGAGTTCCAGAGTTTCCTTGGAGGCCTCTTCGGGCGTTCTGGGGGCCGCTTGGGTCTCGGGGGCCTCTTAGGGCGTCTTGGGTGCCGCTGGGAACCTCTCGGGGGCCGCTTGCGGGGCTCTTGGGTTCCTCTCAGGGGCTTCTTGGGGCTGTCTTGAGATTGCGTTGGGAGCCCTGGTGGCCCTCCTGGGGCCATCTTGGAGGGGATCGGTTTAAAAAGGGGGGATCGCAATTAGCCCCTTCCCATCGGGTTCCCAACAACAAACCTCTTGGAGCGCTCTTGGGGCGTTCTTGGAGCGCTCTTAGGCACTCTTGGTGCCGTTTTTGGGCTCTCACGGGCCCCTCTTGGAGCCTTCTTGGGCCACTGTGGCGCCCCATCTTGAGCGCTCGTGGAGCCGTCTTGCGGCGGCCCTGGGGCCTGTTGGAACATCTCGGGAGCAAAATTGAGGGATCTTGAGCTATATCGCGCCATCTTGTAGGTCATCTTGGGCTCCCTGAGGCCCTCTTGGAACCGTCTTGGGCCATTTTGGACGTTCCAACTACCCGCGACAGGCCCTGTCCAGGTCCAGGGGGGGGGGCCTCCCCGAAGGGGAAGAAGGGAGTTGGAAGAGAAACCGCCTTAGACCACCTACGCCCAGAGGGCTGGTGGGACCCGGTTGTGCGCTAGTCTAGCGCAAAACTAGCGAAATGCACGGTTTATCTTCTAATGCGTTGGCACAGGGTGAGCTGATTCCTCTTGCTGCGAGTGCCGAGCGCCTCCTCCCTCACTCCTTCCCCCTCGCTCCCTCCCTCCCTCCTCCAGCTCGGTGATACGTGTTTCTACGAAGCGTTCGCCGCTGGGTGTTGAGCAGAGGCGAGACAAACTGGAGGGTGCCTCGCACTCGAGCGCATGGCCATATTATGTCGAGGCTCCAGAACTGGCTGTTGTTGCCAAGGCCGGACTCACGTGCATTCATGGTCGTGCGGGGATGTGTACGCAGGCCGTTGACCTCTGCGACTTTTTGCAGCGCATGGGAGGGGGGTGCGGGGGAACCGCTATACCATTGTACCGTTATGGCGAGCATTACCTCTTTGCACCTTCTGCGATTTGGGATCGTTCCCTGGGGTCACCACTGAACTAACCGGGGGGTGGTTGTCTTGAGTGAAGCTTTGTAGGAATTCTTTGATGGTTTGTGACAACAGTGGGTTATCGATTTGCCTTCGGCATATCCAGCCACCGTGCCTGGGTTGTGGGTCTGAGGCTTGTGTGGTAATCGCTGGGTGTGGAACTTCTCGCGGGCCTTTTGGAGGCTGTTTCGAAACCGCTTGGGGGCCGCTTTGGGGCTTCATTTGGGCCTCACGTGGGGCCTCTTAGGGCCTCTTGGAGACCTCTTGGAGGCCTCTTGGGCGCCTCTTGGGGCCTCCTGGGGTCGTGTTGGGGCGGAAGGTTGGAATTTTCGGTTCCAACTCCCCCTCCTGGGCCCCTTGTGGAGTCGTCTTGGGGCCCTCTTGGACGCCTGTTGGCTTGTCTTGGCGCCCTCTTGGGCCGTCTTGGGCGCCTCTTGGGAGCCTTTTGGGCCGCCCTGGGGCGGTCTTGAGGGCCTCTTGGGCCGTCTTCGCCGCCGTCAAGGCCTAAAACTCGCATATGATAAAGGTGTGCGTTTCCCCAGAAATATTTG